TGATACAGTACATGAATTTATCAATAGTAAAAAAAATTTAACAGATTGATGAATTAAAAAATTCACATTATTAGAAAATAGTATGCATGGTCTAATTCCCATTTTGAAAAAAAAAAAAAAAAACGGTCATTTGCCTAGGTAAAATCTGGCATAGGAGATCTAAGTATTCATTGTATGTATGAGTGCTGTGCATGAATTTTCAGGTTTTCAATTCCACTTTTGAGTTTTTCTGTACAATTTCATTTGCAACATATGGGCATTAATTTCAAGTCAGTTTATTGAGATGTAATATACACATATTTACTTACTGTTACAGATGTGAGTCTTAACTAACACACCACTAAAATTAAATAGGGAACACTTCCATCACTCCAAAAAATTCCCTCATTTCTTTTGTGAACAACCCCACCCCTATCCCTAGGCAATCACTTACCTGTTCCATCATTTTGCATTTTTTAGGGATCACATAGTAATATGTAGCCTTTTGAGTGTGGCTTCTTTCTTCGAACGTAATACATTTTTGATTCATGTGTGCGGTTGCCTCAGTAGTTTGCTCTCTTTATTGCTGAGTATTACTCCATTGTATTGTATTGTTCTCTTTATTGCTGAGTATAATTCCATGGTTTTCCATTCTCCAGTGGACAAGAAAGTTGTTTTGAGCTTTCATAACTGTAGTAATGCTGCTATAAACAGGTATTCCTGAAACTGTTTTCATGGGATTGCTGTGACATATACTGTGTACACAAACTGCCAAATCTTGTTTACATGGGCTGTAGCATTTTGCACTTCTATTGCAATGTCTGAGGGCTCCTGTTGCTCTAAAGCCTTTTCTGGACTTGATATTACCTAGTTTTTCATTTGAGTTATTCTAATAGATATGGGTTTGTCTCATTGTGGTTTTAACTGGAATCTCCCTAACAACTAGTGATGTTGATCATAAAAATACTTGTCTGACAAAAAGATGTTCTTTGGCTGTTCAAAACTTTCCTTTTTTAAAAAAAAATAGATTGTTTCTCAGTATTTGCTTTGGAGAGTACTTTATACACAATTTTTATATGCCAGTCCTTTAAAACACATTTTCAAATGTTTTCTCAGTCTGTACTTTCTCTGTTTTCATACTATTGGTCTTTTGCAAAGCAGAGATTTTAATTTTGATTAAGCATAATTTATGGAATATTTAGATATGAATCATACCAAGAACTCTGCCTAACTCAAGGTGACAAAATCCATCACCACCATCCCATCCCATGTTTTCTTCTAGAACTTTTATTGTTAGAATTTGTATTTAGGTCTAAATCTTTTTTTTTTTTTAATTTAAAAAGATTTATTTATTTATGCATACAGAACTGGGTTACAAGCCAGAGGTGCAGAGTGATGAAAGGATTCATCAAAGACAAAGCGGGGTGCAGAACAGGCAGATTGACGAAGTCCACTGCTGAGGGGAGTAGCGGGCAGGCCAGGAGAGGTCTGCCGCGCCCCTGGGTCAGCTCCAGGGCCGGATCAAACTTGCACTTTAGTGGCTGCAGCTACCTTGCAATGCTGCGTCCTGATCCACTGCGCCACCAGGGAGGGCCCTATGTCTAAATCTTTAATTAAAATTTTGACTTGCCATGTAGGTTGAGACTCGTCTGTTACACACAGATTCATGTTTTACACATGGTTGAAAGACATTTAATTGCATTGCTACTTTTGCCACAATCAATTGACTATTTTTCTGTCTATTTCTGCACTGTAGTATGTTATACTGTTCTTTGTGTTTATTCTTCTACCATACTATCTTGATTGCACCAGATTTATAGTAAATCTTTAGATCAGATAAACCTTCCAACAAGATTTAAAAATACTTTTAGACTAGTTTGCATAGATTTTAAAAGTAGTTTGTTCATTTCTGTGATTTAGAATGGGGCTGTTAGATTTATGTTAGTTTAGGGGAAATGTCTTAACACTATTCAATCTTCCCCTACATATTAAAGTTATATCCGAGTGCTTTTAAATCTTTCATCAGTATTTCATAATACCTATCATGGAATTACACACCTTACCCTTCACTCATTCATATATTTATATATAAGGTGTTACTGTGAACAGTACTGTTTTCTTAGTATCCATTTCAGACTAGGGCAGGATGAGTTCAGTGATTTTTGTATACTGACCTTGATCCTGAGCCTCTATTAAACTCACTGATTAGTTAAGACTTTTTTGTTGGCTCTTGGTGCTTTCCATAGAAAATCTTGTCTATTTACGTCTTCCTTTTCTATCTGTGTATCTTTTTTCTCACCTTAGTGCACTGGTGAGTACCTCCTGAATGATGTGGAAATGAAGTTTTACAAGTCCTTGACTTCTTTCCAAATTAAGGGGGAACATTCCAATATTCTACTATTAAAAGTATCTGCATTTTGTGAATATCCTTTATCAGTATGAAAAGCTGCCTTGAATTCCTAGGTTTTGCTCTTCAGTCATGATGCTCAATTTGTCAAATGATTTTTCTGTGTCTATTCTTTATGGATACAGTGAATTAGTTTGATTTTTATATTGAAGCACTCTGCATTTCCAGCCACTCTGTCATGATGCATGATCCTTTTTCTAAATTACAATGATAATATTGACTTTTGTATATTGACTTTTGTGTCTGTATTCAAATTTTCTGCTTTTATAATGCCATTGTTGGATTGTTACCAAGATAAAGCTTTGTAACTATGACTAAAATGCTCTAGGACACTGCAGATTGTGTGGACTTTAAGACATAAAGAAACTTCACAGAAAGTTAAAATTACTGACACCTCTCTTATCTCTATCCTTAAAAATCTAGGGAATTTTGAAAATTAACTGTCAAAATTTTATTTCTTAATTTTTATTCAGAATGCTATATAATGAAACCATAATCATATTATGAATTCTTAACTATAAGGGATAACATCTCAGTAGTAGTTTATTGCTTTGGTAAAACTGGTAAATGTTAACTATATATATACATATATATATACATATATATGTATATACATATACACACACACGTGTGTGTGTGTGCGCGTGTGTTTAAAAGAAGTACAAAAAAGAGAAAAACTGGGCCCCCTGGTGGCACAACAGGTTAGGATGCAGCACTACAAGCTGGCGGCAGCAGTTTTAGTGCGAGTTCAATCCCCAGCTCAGAGGTGGCCCACATGGCGCGGCAGACCTCTCCTGACCCTCAGCAGTTTACTTCATCAATCTGCCTGTTCTGCTCCCCACTCTGTCTCAGGTGAAGCCTCTTACCACCCCTGCATCTCTGGCTTGTATCCCAGTTCTGTATGAATAAATAAATAAATCTTTGAAAAAAGAGAGAGAGAAAAACTAACCCAAAATTTTGTCAGTCAGTGTATACATGATGATGAGTAATCAGTGACACAATCTACTAAACATATAATGAAACATACATGTATACAGAATTAAAATTGATTATGAAGGTTCAATCCACACTTTCACTAAAAAATATGCATGATTCTTTTTGATTCTATACTTTCTGTAATTTCATATTATTACAATGTATGGAATTATCCAACTCCAACTAATGAACATTACCAGTTTTAAAAAAATCTACCTGCACACATTGTACACATTCTTTCTCGCTATTAAAATTGCTTTATCATAAATTATTCCAATTTCCATCCAGATGGGCACACAATACATTTTGATGTGTACTGTATGGCTCTTCTCTGCAAGTTTGTATTGCTTATTCTCACTGACAGAATGTATTGTTCCCTTGAAGACAAAGACTGGCAAGCAAATGGCATCTCTGCTAGTACCAATGTATTTGATAAAATGGATAGAAAAAAATCAAGATGGTTCCTTTCTCTGTGAAATATGGGAGTGGGAAAATTGAGAAAATGAAAGTCCTTTAGCTCCCTCACAGATCTTGCCTAGGCACAGCTGAGTTGGCCAAAGTTACAACTGCCAGAAAACAGTTATGCCAAAGGACTCTGATGGAAATATGGAGACTAGCAAACCAAGTATTGTATTCTTGACATTTATTAAGTATTTTTCATTAGCAACCACTCCTGAAACTTTCCAAATATTCCAATAAAACTCTGCCTTAACACATATGATGAAGTCTCAGTTGTGTAAAATGTAGTGTTCTGCTTTTGCAAAATTAACCAGAAACATTGTTTATCAGTTTTTAAAGTCATTTAAAGTGGACATATACATGTGTGCAAATACACACACGACGAAACTTAAACTAGTGCTGTATTGTATAGTTATAAAAGACTCAGTTCATCTCTGCTTAAGATGTAACAAATGACAGAAACCAATCTCAACAGGGTTAGAATCAAATTCAAGTAATTTTGTATTGCAATGTTGCCTGATGGTCTACATCTCCAGTAATATTTGCTTGAAGTATTTATTATGGATGTTACTTATAGGATTACCCCCACCAAGGATTTTTCAATGATTTTTTTGAAATGACAATAAACATTTCAGATAGGATACCTTTACACACATTTAGTCATTTAGTTCAGTCAAACACTATTATGGTTTTGTAGAGTTAGCAATGAATGAAGCCCTTTCTCTCATTAAGCTTACGTACTAGAGGACAAGGACTGAGCCTCTCAACATGTGTTAAATGTATTTTGTTAAATTCCTCATCTTTTTTCTACCCTCTAGTTCAATGACTGAAGTCCTGTGCCATCATGCATACTCAACTCTGACAAGGTCCCTTACAGAACCCCTCCCATTGTTTCTGCTATCTGGTCTCCTGAGTATTTTGAGTGCTGAGGTTAGGGAGAAATTACATTTTCATTAAAAAAAAAAATCTACAATCAAAAACTCAAATGGTGGGTTTTTTGTGGTTCCATTTGAGGACTTCAAAACAGAACACAATTTTACATAACTTCATTTCTGTATGGATTCTCTGATGAAGGATAATCTTTACCATACACTTCACTTCTATAGAATTTATCACCACTATGGACTCTCTGATGAATTAGAAGACCTGAGCTCCAACGGAAGCCCTTGCCACATGCATCACATTTATAGGGTTTCTCCCCTGTGTGAACTCTCTGGTGAGCTTGAAGGTTTGACCTCTGACTGAAGCCCTTCCCACATACCTCACACTTGTATGGTTTTTCCCCAGTGTGGACTCGATGATGGGCTTGAAGACTTGAAAACCCACTGAACCCCTTTCCACACTCTTCACATTTATAGGGTCTCCCTTCTGTATGGACTTTCTGATGTGCTTGAAGGCGTGAACTCTCACTGAAGCCCTTCGTGCACACCTCACATTTGTATGGTTTCCCTCCAGTGTGGACCCTCCGATGTGCTTCAAGGCGGGAACTCTGACTAAAGCCCTTCCCACACATCTCACATTTATATGGTTTCACTCTAGTGTGGACTCTCTGGTGACCTTGAAGATATGCTCTCTGACTGAAGCCCTTCCCACATACCTCACATATATACGGTCTCTCTCCAGTGTGAACACTCTGATGACTTTGAAGGTATGATCTCTGGCTGAAGCTCTTACCGCACTCATCGCAATGGTATGGCTTCTCTCCTGTGTGGACTCTTTGATGAGCCAAAAGAGTTGAAGCCTTACTGAATCCCTTACCACATTCTCCACACTTATAGGGTTTCTCTCCTGTGTGAACTCTTTGATGAATTTGAAGATTAAAGCTCCAACTGAATTCCTTCCCACACTCCTCACATTTGAATGGTTTTTCTCCAGTGTGGACTCGCTGATGTCCTTGAAGGTGTGAACTCCGACTGAAGCCCTTCCCACACTCCTCACACTTGTAGGGTTTCTCTCCAGTGTGGACCCTCTGATGGCCTTGAAGGTATGAATTGCGACTAAATCCTTTCCCACACTCCTCACATTTGTATGGTTTTTCTCCAGTGTGGACTCGCTGATGGGCTTGAAGGTATGAGCTCCTACTGAATCCCTTCCCACACTCCTCACATTTGTATGGCTTCTCTCCTGTGTGGACTCTCTGATGAACATTAAGAACTGATCTATGGCTGAAGCCTTTACCACATACACCACATTTGTATGGCTTCTCCCCAGTGTGGACTCTCTGATGATCTTTGTGTTTTGTCCTCCAAATGAAGCCCTTCCCACACTCCTTGTAAGGTTTCTGTCCAATGTGAATCTTCTGATGGCCTTGAAGATATGAATTTTGGCTGAAGAGGTTACCACAACCATAATGCTTGTATGGTTGTTCTTTAGTGTGGACTATGTGAAGGTCCTGAAAATGTGAGGCTAGACTGAAGCCATTTACATGCTCTTTGGAATTGTAAGGATTCTCTCCCAGGCAAACTCTGCGCTGGATGTTAAGATCTGAAGTACAAATGAAACTCTTCCTACATTCCAAATATGTGTGTTGTTTCTCTTCAGTGTTTATTTTTTGCTGGGCTTGAAAACAAGAATTTGGATTAAAGATATCCCTGTTCTCTTCATATTCAAGGGGTTCCTCTCTAGTATGAGTCCTAAAAATACCACTAAGGTCTAAGCCATGACGGAAAGCTTTCTCATAAATGTTGCATCTATGGGATGTTTCTCCTGTGTGAATATCTCTGTAAGTGTTAAGAGAGGGACTCTGATTGAATTTCTCACCATATTCACATTTACACCGCTTCCCTTCTGTCTGTATTCTTTCACAGGGTTGCAGATATGAAGTGGCAAAGACACAACCATCTCTGTGAACACTCTGATGAATACGAAGAGCTGAACCACAGTCCTTCCCACACAAACTGCATGTCTGGAGGTTCCCTTGTAAGTGCAACTGCTGAACTTCAGAGCTGGAGCCATCTCTGAAGGCTCCTGTGTGCTCATTACAAGGGCAGGGCTTTTGCCTTGTTTGAATTAAGTCTTGATTAAGCAGTGACAAGTGAGTAACATCTTCACCACAGTCACGGCAGTTGTTCTGTCCCATTCTGTGTACACCCTGGTTATCATTGTGATGCGAGATCCAACAGATGCTGTTACACTTACAGGTGTTAGTTTTCAGGGAAGTCTGCTGACACCTACACTGATAATTATGTGACTCTGTCAGACACATTTTCCTCCAAGAATGCTGAGCTCTCCAAGATGGAAATTCTAGATGTCTGATATCATTGGAACCAGTTCCTCTATGAGTCATTACATAGTTCTCATCTTCAGAAATTCGAGTTGGCACTCCTGCCCATACCTGGCAGGGAGAATCACCTTGTTTTTGAAACTGAGAAACAATCCGTTGAAAAAATTTCATGGAATCTGAACACTTGGTCAACCTGCCTGAACCTTGCTGGCAGGTCTGCCAAGAGGAAAGCTCTTTGGGGGAAAAGTAGCTTAATCCCACTTCTTGAACAGGCTCCATATTATGTTGGTTCTTGGTTCCTAATAAGGATAAAGAATAATTAGACATGTGCACAAGTGAATGCTTTTATTCAGAGATCTCAAAATTTTGCACTTAGGTCATAACATGAAACTTCATCAACTTAAGAGGTAGTTCTTTGCCTGCACCACAAATACAAGTGGGCCGGCCTCATAACTGGCTATCTGTAAGCCTCAAAATTAGGATTTTTCAACACCTGGATATAACACATGGTGGCCAAGTTCAAAAGTCCTAGTAAAACAATACTCGTGTTATCATGGGTTGCCTGGAGAGCCAAGGAGAAAACAGAAGGCCTGTTCTCAAACTGGAAACAATACAGTTTCAAGAAGTTAAATGCCTTTTGTCCAATGGCTTGTTCTTTTTTCTCATGTGCCTGGACATGGTAATGTTTTTGTGGGGTAAACAGACTTTTAATCTACACTTACAGCATCAATCTGGGCCTCTCTCCAATGTGTTTTCTGTCTTCACAGGAATAAGACCATCTAAGTCACTGTCAGCCATTATCAGTGTTCACTCCTTCTCAAAGATTTTCACAACTACCAAGGGCCTATGGTGCACGTGAGAATGCGAAACACTGTAATGGAATTCTACGCCAATGACGTCAGAAAAAAGTGGAGGCAGAGGGACGTAAGCACAGCCAAGCTTCACGATGCCTGGAGGTGTCCTGTGAGTCAACTTGTCAGATAAAACACAAGGCCAAAATTTTGACTGGTATCGTTTTACTGGAAAATTAAGGTTGAAGTCATCTGAGGCACCAGAAGAGTTGAGGCCAGGCATGTTGGGGTGGCATGGCTTGTCAGTTATCAAAGCTCATATTATCAGCAGACAGCAGATCTCTGTATCCTGATGAGAAGCCTCCTCCCCTGAGGACATCTGGTTCATCAGGGTTGCAGTAACAACATGTAGCCTTTTACACTTAACTCAAGCATCCCGAACAGAAAGCAGTAAGTTTTAATTTTATAATGAATGGAATCCTCAAATATAGTAATTCTTCTCTAGCTATCTGTACATGTCTGTCTCTGCACACTTGGAGGTGTTACCCCAGGACAACAAACCCTCAGGAGCGCACTCTTAATGTGCGTTCAGATAGCAAGGGAAACAGGCATTTTGGGGGCAGCAGCAGATACAGACTAATACCTCAGCTCCAGTGCTGGCTACTTTAATCACATGGACACTTTAACTCTTATTAGAGTATACTCAACTTTTAAAGATCTTCTCTTTTTCACAACTGAATGAGTTTCTATTTTTCTCTTTTGTAATTATTCAATTTTTGATTCAAGTGTCTTTAACAGACACAGGCATATTCAGATTGTCTATTTTTTTCTTGTGTGAGTTTTGGCACATTTTCTTTCAAGGATTTGGTCCATTCCATCTAGGTTATTAAATTTGTGGGCTTAGTCTTGGTTCATAGTATTTACTAACCTTTTAATGCCTATAGCATGATCTTCTTTTATTTTTGACATTAGCAATTTGTGATCTGTCTCTTTTTATTTTTAGTTATTCTGGCTTCAAAGCTTACTGGTTTGATCAATATTTTCAAAGAACCAGCTTTTATGGTTTCATTGATTTTCTCTGTTGCTATCTTCTTTTCTGTCTCATTGATTTCTATTCTAATTCTTACTGTTTCTTTTCTTCTGCTTACTTTGGATTTAATTTGCTCTCTTTTTCCTAAGGTTTTCCTGGGTGGAAACTCAGATGACTCATCCTAGATTCTTGTCTAATACATGTGTTCAATGCTATGTACTTCCCTCTAAGCACTGTTTTCACTGCATTCCACACATTTTAATAATTTTAGTTTTTATCTTCATTTAGTTCAAAATACTTAAAAATTTCCTTTGAGAATTCTTCTTTGATTCATGTGTTCTTTGGAAGTTAGTCATTTAAATTCCAGGTATTTTGGGGATTTTACAGTTAATTAAATTATTGATTTCGAGTATAATACCATAGTTCTAAAAGCAGATCTTGTATAAATTCTATCTCTGTTAATCTACATCCAGAAAGTGTTCTCTTATTGAACGTTCCATGTGAGCTTGAGAACAGGAGCTCCATTTTTTTCTATTATCTACATTAATAAGGGCTCCAAAATCCAACTCCATACCACAAAGCTATCATTTTAGAATCACCGTTTTAACTTAGACCATGCAGCTAAATATATATAGTTATAAATACCTATGTTTATATTTATATATATTTCATAGATATATGAAAGTAATTTTCATTTATATATATCTATATACACACACATATATATATAACACAGAATATGATTATGTAGGAATGAGTAAAATGCAGAAAACAGACTATCATTTATATTATAGGAAAAAACTGGGTCAGTCTACTATAGCCGAAGATCAGACATCTGGCCAGTTTTAATGATCAACAAAGTCATCTAAAAATTTTAAGAAAAGAGTGATTAAATGGAGGTATAATTCAAAACAGATTTCTCATACTCTATTAGCAACATGTCATTTTATCACTATCTCCTTATGTCAGGAGTTAAATCAGTACAAATTATTAAGTGATCTATTAAGGAGGAAATTGGGCAAAGAATTACAATGCACATTTATGACAGCACAAAATATTTATGAAAGATTGCATTTAAACTTAAGGTTTAGTTAAGAGTAACATGCAAAGTTAAGTTACAACCACAGCACCTGTTAAAACAGTGATCTTTGATGTTCTAATTAAGCCACAAGGAATTAAAATGATCAAGAAAACATCTGATAACAGTTGTCTGAGACCTAGAGGAATGGGAAGTTTCTTTGTTCAGTGCCAGGTAACTATATCCTAAAGGAAGCAGAATTTAAGAGAAATTTATCAGGCCCATTTCTCAAAGAATACCTACTTCTCAGCTGTACCTCTCTTTTACTGTGGTGAGTGACATTCAAGTTGGAACGGAGGAGACTGGAGTAGAAGAAATAGTGTATGAGGGTGCTTAAAGACAACACTGGAGAAATCTGGCCCACCAAGATTCATGACATTAAAAAAAATGAACCAATAAAATGAAACTAGGGCATTTCCCTACCATGGGAAATGGCAATCTTGGGAATCCATGAGTTTGGGAAAGATGGATGGGCTACGCTGGGAAAATTCTGCAAGGCAATGGGCAGGTTACATTTCTCTTTCCTAATATGTACAGCAGGAGAGAGAGATTTCTTCTATAGGGGATCGACCAAGAGAGTAATTGTAAAAATCCTCATTTAAAAAATATTTGCCCAAGTCAATTATTTCATCTCCTACGGCTACAGGAGAGCCAGTAATTGTCTCTTCTGGTTACAACTCCGAAGTTCAAGCTCAGTGAAGGACAGTTTTTCCTCTTTGAATCTCTGAGCCACCAGAAATTACTAGGACCAAGGACAGTGCAAGTGCCTCACTTGAAATTGCTGCATGGGAAGGCCGAGAGTAAGGTGCTTGGCCTCCATAGCCTCTGATACTTCAATTTAGGTTGGCTGTTCTTAATCATTTAAGAATAATGGTTCTTGATCGATGAATGTCCAAGACCGTCCAAACAGAATTAAGATAGGTGTCAATCAGATGACAAACACCCTGGGTATCCTTTGATTCCACTGATTTATTCTGAATCTATCATAAACTGTCACAACCGACTACAGTGAAGATCACGTGCCTATTAATCAATTCTTTCACTCAAAGTGGAGAGAAAATCGAAATGAAGAAACTAAAGCAGGAAGGAGAAGTGACCAGTCTGATGGGCAGTGCTTCCAGAACACAGTGAATGAGCAACAGTTAACGAACATAGGAAGTTAGAAGGTGTTGAGGGGAAAGAAGCCTTTGTGCCCAAGAGCCACCAAGCATGTAGGTTTTATTTGAAGCAAATGGGAAGCCCCTGAGGAGTCTAAGCAGAAAAGTTGTATATTCTGACTCATGTTTTGAAAGGGCCTGTCTGGCTGCTGGACACTTCTCACCTGAACACCCATCTCTTTGGGTTTCTGTCTCCATCAACAAAAGCTTTTCTTCTCTTTCCAATTGAAATATAAGCTCTGGTTTGAAGGGTTGATTCCCTGTAGAAAAGCAAGAAAAGCAAAAGTTTATACATTTTAGTTAAGTCCAACTTACTGCTTTTCCCCACTATTCTGAAGCCTATTTTTGGTATTATATCTAAGAACTCTGCCGCACCCAAGATTGTGAAGATTCTTCCTTATGGTTCCTTCTAGAATTTCCATACTTTCACATCTTACATTAAGTCTCACACATTTTGAGCTCATCTTTTCGGTAGGATGTGAAGTACAGATATAGATGCACCCAGATGTGCACTGTCCCAGCGCCATCTGCTGAAGACAGATGCCCTGGCACCTATAATACACCCCAAAGAGTTTGAGGATGGCTTCTCCAATATCACAAGACAAACCCAGCAAATATATTCAGGATTTCAGCTCTTCTCCATCCCCCTCCCAAAGGACCCCAGACTATGTTATATAGTTCTATATATACTTCCACAAGTTCTCTTTTCAATGTAATTATGGCATTAATTTCAACTACTACTGACTTCATTTGTTTCAGTTTTTTTAAAGGGATATTAAGTTTTAGGTTAACATCTCTTTGCATTCCTTTAAAAAAAAAAGATTTACTTACACATGAAAAGCTGGGGTACAGGCTAGAGATGTGGGGGTGGTAGGGTGAGAAGATTCACCAGAGACAGAGTGGGGAACAGAGCAGAGTGGGGATCTACTGAAATACATTGCTGAGGGGA